TAAGCGCTAGATGGTGTCGATGTCGCACTGGTGTCGTAGAGTGACCCACATACAGGGGTCGATAGAAATTTTTGGGGCCCTACCGACGGGTCGATGAACCGACGGTATAACGTCAGATCGAAATAAGCTCCATTCACATGGGAGGTGTGTGTGGAACTGCTCGTGGGAGACACGGACCTTGTCGTATATAGCAAGACGTGTCCTAAAATGGTGATACCCATTGGTCGCTCAGCCATACAGGTCGGTCAGACAGAAGTTTTTGGGACCGGGGTGCTCTGATTGGTGGATCAGACGGCGGGAAATTTGAACGGTGTTGATGGTATAGTTGAATGGTGGACGGCGGGGTCGGGTGCGTTGGTAATCACCTATGTCGCAAATGAGGTTAGATAGATAGTCGTTCAGTGAAGGTGTTGTCGTAGCGGTGATATGCAAGAAGTACTGCGCGCGGGGGTGTCAACGAGTTAATATTGGCCAACGATAACAGCGGTGACCCTGGAACACTGTTGTCACACGGTTGCAAAAGATGATAGGTTATCTCTTAATTTTCGTAAACAACGATTTTTCTAAAGTGGTAAAAATAGGTCGAAATTTTAAATACCTATGAATCACCGCAAATTATCTTGTCAGTTATCTGCTGCGAACAAAACATGCTCAGCTCAGACTTATCTAAAAAGTGGTGGGAAAATCGATATTATAAAAATATTTATGAATCACCGCAAATTCTCTTAGACGTGCTCTTATCAGTTCAGACTTAGTTAAAACTGGTGGGTAAAATCGAGATTATAAATACCTATGAATCACCGCAAATTACCTTGTTAGTTTTCTGCAGTGAACAGACGTGAACAGTTCAGACTTAGCAATTCCCAACGCTCCTCCGTGGCCATTCCCCTTACCCTCTCGCGAGTGCGCGCATGCGCATGCGGCTCGTTCTGGTCTATAGACATATGATCGCTAATGATCTTGAACAAAGATGTCCTGATACCCGAACCGCCAGAGGTACATCAGAAGTAATGTTAGTATTGTGTGTGCGTGTTTTTGGAACACGCTAAGTCGTGATGTACATCACGTGACGTACGTCACGTGACCTACGTGACGTGCGTGTGACAGGTGACGTGCGTCACGTGACACGTGACGCACATGGCACGTGACGTGCGTCATGTGACACTTGACGCACGTGGCGTACGTCACGTGACACGTGACGCACATGGCACGTGACGTGCGTCATGTGACACTTGACGCACGTGGCGTACGTCACGTGACACGTGACGTGCACACTTTGTTCAAAAATACCAAAAAGCTGTCTTGATAGCCCGAACCGCCAGAGGTACAACATCAGAAGTAATGTTAGTGCGTGGTTGAGGTTCAAAAACTTAGCGTGTCCAAAAAAAAACGTACCTAGACCAAAAGTCATTCTAGACCAGTCACTCTAGACCAAAGTACAAAAAAAAACGCCGTTTTTCAACGCCTTTTTTGTCACCATTCCCCTTAGTAGCGCGCATGCGCATGGGGCTCATTCTGCTGGTGCTGGTGCTGGCGCGGGCGTAGATAGCGTTTGTGGTAAGGATTGGGGGTAGGTCTTGTTCTCTTATCGCGCACGAGTAAGTTTGTTTGTTGTGTACCATGGATAGTGGTAAGAGAACAAGACCTACCCCCAATCCTTACCACAAACGCTATCTACGCCCGCGCCAGCACCAGCACCAGCAGAATGAGCCCCATGCGCATGCGCGCTACTAAGGGGAATGGTGACAAAAAAGGCGTTGAAAAACGGCGTTTTTTTTTGTACTTTGGTCTAGAGTGACTGGTCTAGAATGACTTTTGGTCTAGGTACGTTTTTTTTTGGACACGCTAAGTTTTTGAACCTCAACCACGCACTAACATTACTTCTGATGTTGTACCTCTGGCGGTTCGGGCTATCAAGACAGCTTTTTGGTATTTTTGAACAAAGTGTGCACGTCACGTGTCACGTGACGTACGCCACGTGCGTCAAGTGTCACATGACGCACGTCACGTGCCATGTGCGTCACGTGTCACGTGACGTACGCCACGTGCGTCAAGTGTCACATGACGCACGTCACGTGCCATGTGCGTCACGTGTCACGTGACGCACGTCACCTGTCACACGCACGTCACGTAGGTCACGTGACGTACGTCACGTGATGTACATCACGACTTAGCGTGTTCCAAAAACACGCACACACAATACTAACATTACTTCTGATGTACCTCTGGCGGTTCGGGTATCAGGACATCTTTGTTCAAGATCATTAGCGATCATATGTCTATAGACCAGAACGAGCCGCATGCGCATGCGCGCACTCGCGAGAGGGTAAGGGGAATGGCCACGGAGGAGCGTTGGGAATTGCTAAGTCTGAACTGTTCACGTCTGTTCACTGCAGAAAACTAACAAGGTAATTTGCGGTGATTCATAGGTATTTATAATCTCGATTTTACCCACCAGTTTTAACTAAGTCTGAACTGATAAGAGCACGTCTAAGAGAATTTGCGGTGATTCATAAATATTTTTATAATATCGATTTTCCCACCACTTTTTAGATAAGTCTGAGCTGAGCATGTTTTGTTCGCAGCAGATAACTGACAAGATAATTTGCGGTGATTCATAGGTATTTAAAATTTCGACCTGTTTTTACCACTTTAGAAAAATCGTTGTTTACGAAAATTAAGAGATAACCTATCATCTTTTGCAACCGTGTGACAACAGTGTTCCAGGGTCACCGCTGTTATCGTTGGCCAATATTAACTCGTTGACACCCCCGCGCGCAGTACTTCTTGCATATCACCGCTACGACAACACCTTCACTGAACGACTATCTATCTAACCTCATTTGCGACATAGGTGATTACCAACGCACCCGACCCCGCCGTCCACCATTCAACTATACCATCAACACCGTTCAAATTTCCCGCCGTCTGATCCACCAATCAGAGCACCCCGGTCCCAAAAACTTCTGTCTGACCGACCTGTATGGCTGAGCGACCAATGGGTATCACCATTTTAGGACACGTCTTGCTATATACGACAAGGTCCGTGTCTCCCACGAGCAGTTCCACACACACCTCCCATGTGAATGGAGCTTATTTCGATCTGACGTTATACCGTCGGTTCATCGACCCGTCGGTAGGGCCCCAAAAATTTCTATCGACCCCTGTATGTGGGTCACTCTACGACACCAGTGCGACATCGACACCATCTAGCGCTTAGAGACACAACTCACACTTATCAATGATACACATAACGTTTAACAGATGACGTTTGTATGTAGCGTCATCTAGCGGCGAGAACCACAGACTACCTGTCGGGTATTTCATTCCAGGCTACTGCAAGATGGCATATCTCAGCTATTTTACGAAAATTGAAGTTAAAATTTTAATCACTTTCTATTTATCATTAGACCTATAACCTGTAAATGTATGCTAAAATTATAGCACTCCGGTCGGTGTTGCATAGCACCGTAGAATCACTTCCGATTAATAAGAAGAACAGATAAGTACTTGATCGTTTTTAGAAACAAGGAGATTAACATTTTAGTTTCTCATTGATTCGCTTGAATAAATCAAGATATGCTAGAGGAAAGCTCGTCACCGATAAATTGCGTATAATCACTAGCTCAAGTATTCTAGCAAGATCTTTGCAAATCAATTAAAATTAAGTTTGAGTCGCTGTTCGTAGGCTCTAGGGTACGAACGCAGCATCGGTTTCGACCGAATTTTGCCAAAAATGCCCCTTCGACGACACATTTGGTCGTCGGCTCATGAACCCTACGGGCAGAGGTTTGGAAAAAAATCTGGTCGCGTACCAAGCGGACATAAACATGGTCAGCGTATGAAAAATACTTTTTCCTCAACAATTAAACAATTACATGGCTTCTACAATATCTGATTGTTACTTTCTACCATATTCTATCCGTAATTTCAACAAGAATATTAAGTGACTCTACTTTGTTGCATTTTGTTTTTTTGCTAGCGCCATAGTCTAACCTTTTACATGCACAAAAATAGAGGACCCACCGGTAAATTGTCGATACGGCTGACCAAAGAACTGAGGAGATTATAAGTAACTATTCTAAATTAAGTATATTTCGGTGTTTACCCTGTATCCCCTACCATTTATAATATATTATTTTGATTTTTTAATTGTATAATTTTAAAATATCTGCATTTTAATAGTACATATGTTTTATTATCAACTTTGTAGATTAATGTATGGTCTTATCGTGAAACTGCTTTTGCAGTAACTATTATTTCCGTTATAACGGTGGGAAGCAAATATGTGTTTTCATATCCCAACGAATGTCAAAGGAAACAGTATTATCGGATACCAGCGCTGATAGATGTTATGCCTTTTCAGTATGTGTTTTTTTCTGTAGCCTTCGGTTGTCTCTGGTGCTGTTTCGAAGTTCTATGAGGTTATCGTGCTTCTCAATTTTTTCGGTGCTCATAAAAAATAGTATAGCTATTATCGAAAATAGAGTTTTTATTTCTACTTTTCGTAATAACCATTTACGTAGTGATACGAAGTTCTACATGGTTATCATGCTTCTCAATTTTTCGTACCCGTGCAGTACAGTGTTGGTACCCGTGCAGTGCAGTGCCCAACACGTAAGATAGTAAAATGATTATTATTGTAAAAATAGGAATTCAAAACTCTATTTTATTAGTAATAATCGATTACTTTTACGTAGTTTCCTCTCTACACTGCTTATGAATCTGCTGTATTTTTTATTTTCCAAGATATGTTTTTTTTTGTGATTATACAAAGTTCTAGATGGTTATACTGCTTCTCAATTTTTTTGGTGTATATTACTGCAGGCGTTTAATAATAACAATGCATACTTTTAAATATTTTTATATGGAGTAAAAGGGCTGAACAATTTCGGGTGCAAAAATATTTTTCAATTAGGCGGGAAATAAAAAACAAAAAAATCATTTGCATACATTTTATTTTACATGTTTATTAAAAAATATTTACATACATTACTAAATCAATATGTTATTTTCTTAAATCCAAATGGTACAGAGGTATGATCTTCATAGAATTTCCTTTTCATTGAAGTTATCTTGTATACCTTAGGAAACTCGACTGTTACTACTGCATGCTCTCTTGTACGTCGTAGCTGTCGAGAAAGTACAGAAACAGGATCAGATTTCTTCAGCACCATGTCTTTTATTTTCTCAAAATTGACTACTTGGGATGCCTTGTAGTTGAGTGATATGCCTTTTACTTTACATACGATCTGTTCCTCTCCAGACAAAGTAGTATATTTGTAGGCGTAGTTCTTAGGTCCTCCAGAAACAAACTCTGATATGAAACCCCCATTTAGCTCATCGGTCATATCACCTATGAAGTCGCCTGTAGATATGTCGTCTAATCCCTTACGAGAGATATAAATACATGAATCTGTATCTACGTAAACTGCCCTTTCTTCCACTTTCTCCAAGAATGAATATAATTTTAGTCTAGCTAGGGCCGTGACATATGAAGCCAATACAACGTTAACCGTTGAAGAAACGTCATAGGCCTCTTCTCTAAATTCCCAAGTTATGAGAAGGGTTTCTTCGTTTACCGGGAGAACTGTATTTACATGAATAGAAGGATTAGTCAGCATATCAAAGAATTCACCACAGTCTCTGACTATTGAGGTTTTGTTTTGGTTTTCTTTTTGAGCAAATTTACCCCAAAAAGAATTCAGCATAAGTTTAGCTAACGATCTCAAACAGGGGTTCTCTATAATTTTTGAAAATTCCAGCTTTATGTCTTCTCTATCCAAAAATGCATCAATATAACGGTTTTTTTCTTCATCCGTTAAGCAATGTTTGGGCCATCCTGAAGCTTGTTGTTTTATATGTAGAAATTTGTTCATCATTCCGCTAAATAACCCCTCTTGGTCTTTACTGAGCTGAATTGTGTCGTATTCCCATATTTCGTAAGTCTCTATAATCTGGTAACCTTTTTCAATAGCTTTGAGCACCTCTTCTATCACCCAAGTTCCTTTTATGCTTCTTTCTTGAATAGAATGCTGACACTCTTCTCGAACGAAATCTTCACCACATTTTTGGCAGTTAACAAACATCAATTTGTTGTTCATTTTTGACGGTAAAACGGGGTGATATAAGTTCTGGTTCGGTAGAATCTGGCATTTAATAAGTCCTGACATCTGCGGCAGAGAGGCTGTAACACATTCTTCACCTACGTAAATTTTTTTTGGATGACCCACCGGAAATTTTCCATATTTACAGATGAAGGGGTAGAGGGAACATATATCGACATATTTTATGCATTCATTTGTTTTGATCTTGTAGTATTCAACGATATTTTCTGTACGTCCCCCGTAGAGAGCGTCTCTGGGGTTAATCGGTAAATTGATTATCAATGGATGTGCTTCTGTGAACGCTCTAATTTCATCGTTTAGCATCCCTCGAAATTGACATTCCCATATCTCAATTACTTCTAGTCCAAGGCTTCGGAGTCTCTCTACTTTGCTAACTGATTGTTCCTATCGACTTTCCAATGTATTCAACGGATCATTATGCAGAGGATTGCTTCTGTTGTATTTGAAACATCGAGGGCAGCCGTGAAAATAGCATCCTTGGAATTCAAACACTTGATTTGTGTCGCTACAAAAACCGTCTACTTTATGTCCCTTAACAATGATTTCGATACCCTTAGCGGCGTGTTGAATTTTGATTCCTCTTTGATGTTCCTCCCACAACATCCATTGAATGGCAATTTTTGACTGATTTTCACGCCATCTATAGCCTCCTTTTGGAATTACCCCGATCGTCTCAGGTTTTAAAAAATTGCGTCTAAAGACTTTGTTACAGCATGATGCAATAGTGGTGCTTTCCTGAAAGGGATCGACTGTGGTTTCGGTTTTCATTAGGTCTCGAAATTTGAGACACGCCTGTGTCAATATTTCCACATCGGAGATACAGTATTCAACGATTTCTTTCTGAAAATCAAAAACGTATCCCTCAGCTTGTCTTTCGCCATGCCATTTTAATAATTTTTCCCGAGCGTCTTCCTTTAAATGGTCGGGATCGTAGAAGTCGAGCGCTGGAATTGGCCCTACATAATTCTGATGAGCCAAAGTGTTGAATAAATGTGGAAAGTATCCTTTCTTTAGCTCTTTCAAATCAAACGCCTTGGGTAGAGCAGTTAGAGGCATAGGAAAATAATTGAGAGAATCCAGAAATTTTACATTTCCTACCTCCATCAATATTAATTTTGTTCCTCTCATAATTACATTAGGGTACAGACTAGTCTTCTCTAAAATGTAACGAAGTAGAAACTGATGATCAAATCCTCCACCATTATGCGCCAGTACAATGACTTTCTTGAATTTTTTACGAAGTGTCAGAATATGATGCATAAATGGAGAAATGACGTCTTGACATCGAAGAAGCTGTAATCGAAGGCCACATTTCTTGCATATAGGATTATCGGAACATGATTCACAACATTGTTTGAATACACATAGATTTGGCTCATGAAGTAAAGATCCATTGGGTAATTCCTTCTCCTGACGGGTTTCCAAATCGTAAAATATTAATAAGACATCATTTGATTTAGGAATACTTCTGTCAGGCTGTATATAACACATATGTTCAATTGGTTGATTTTTATAACATGTTTTACAAAGTATATGTCCGCAGATGTGATCATTACCGTTGTGAACTTTAAAACAGTCTACACATCTTTTAATTTTAGAACAGACCGATGGTAAATGAGCGTTAAAACATTCTTGTCCATAAAAGCTTCTATTACATTCTTTGCATTTGATGTGCTTCGTTTTCAGGCAGGCCGGAGATCTTTTACAAGCATAACATTGTTTATCACATCTATGAATTTGTTTAGTATTATACGGAATGTGGCAGTTCTCACAAAAAAAGCTGCAGCAAAAGGCAGCAGTGAGGGATGTTATGACGCTGTAGTGCCCCTCGTGATATATTAGGTTAAGCGTCGGACCAGCGGACACGCCTTCAAAAATGACGTCACGACCTTTGCACCCAAACTTGTATACAACAATTTTGTAGTTTTGCAGATATCGTTGTAGCTTTTGAAGTTCAGGTATTCCACACCCCTCCTCAGGGATAACAATATCAGCCTTTTCCACAAGTTGTACAGCTCTTTGTCCTTGTATTTTTCCTCGATCACGGCGGATTCTGCTATAATCTTTGTCTTTGTTCAAATGGGCCATGGCGATGACAAGGGCTCGTGGGAGACACAAATTATCGGTGTTTTTAACGGTGATAATGCCTTTTCTTTTGGCGCATTCCTCATCAAAGGTATTGAAATTCTGAGCTCTACCACGACCAGCAGGCAACCTTACGGACGTAATACCCAAGCAAAAAGTCTTGGTATTCAACCCCACAGAATTTGACTGATAGATGGAAGATATCTTCTCCCATATGTCCTCAGTTGAAACGTCGGAAAACAATTTAAAAGCTATCCATCCTTGACCGCGGGTAAAGTCTTTGGAACAGAAAGTGAATCCAACTTGATCACTGGGCTGGAGATGTTCAGTTCCTTTGGCTACTATTTCCTCCAGAGCGTCTTTGATCCATCCCACAGGTTCGACGTCTTTAGGGATAGGTCGTATTTTAAATTCCACTTCTCGCCCATATAGATTAAATTTTTTAATCTTCTTAGTAGAATCCTTAACGATGAAGAATTTTTCCATTTTTTAAAAACTAAAACGTTAACTAGCGACTAAATCAGAACTGAGCACGTCTGTTCGCTGCAGATAACTGACGAGATTAGGTATTTATAATCTCGATTTTACCCCCACCACCTTTTAACTGACCACAGTGTTTCAAGGTCACCGCTGTTATCGTTGGTCAGTATTAACTCGTTGACAGCCTGCGCTTCCTGCCCATTCACCCATGCTTAACAGCCCCGCCCGGTACTTCTTGCATATCACCGCTACGACAACACCTGCCCTGAACCTAACCTCATTTGCGACGTAGGTGATTGCCTTGTTGAATTTATTAGATACACAATATAGACTGTACTATGTTTTCAATATTGTATCAATGTTAAAAATTAACTAACATTAACTGTATGCACCACATATGAGCAATTCCATTTTTATATGCACACTGAATATGACGTGTTTATTACTGAGATCATCCTATACGCATTGTTTCCCGCGAATTTTATACGTTTTTCCATTTAAACTGAATTCGCAGAATTGCATCTATAAATATCATTATTCATGGGCTTTTATCGATCTATATGCAAATATTTACCGCAAAACATGAAATGAGTCACATCGCTTACGCATAGACGTTATACTACACCTTACTATCGTCGGCTGTCTGAATCACTTCCGGTCGGGTGCGCCATCTAACGGGGCCCGCCAATCAACATATACCAAATCAAATTTCCCGCCGTTTGATCCGCCAATCAGAGCACGCGGTGGATGTGGTGGGCGTGGCCAAAAAGTGGAAGTGGTGGGGGGCGCCCAGAGTGCACCAGTATCTACTTAAAACCTTGGGTTACTGAAAATCGGTTTTTCTTGGGTATCTTTTGAACGACAATGTATTCGAAATTTTTGACAACACAGTAAACAATTGGAGTTTGATTTGGTGGTGTTCACGGAAAACAATTGACTCACTTAAAACGCCAGGGATGCACTAGCCCCAGTGTAATATTGCTAACAATTTTTACATCCCGTATAGTAAGGGCCCAAATACTATTTTGAAAATGCCTAATGCGTTAGCTGATAAAATGTATTTCCGTTTATGTACGGGTTTGAGAAATACGAATCTAAAACATAATCAAGTGATCTAAAAGTGTATATCCTGGTGCCTCTCTGTCTCTAATTATGAATCTGTTAGCAGAATTACTTTATTTGCAAAATGTCGTGATTAATATACTGATACGATGTCAAAATTAATAGAACTATACTGAAATTAATTCCACTGAGTTTTTGCCAAAAACGGTCTATCCTATCGACATCAAACACATTTTTCATATCAAAGATCAGGCTTTCCAAAAATGTTATCGTCGACCTTTATCGTATAACGTGTATTAATTTTTAGAGGCATTGTGTTGGGATTAGCCAATTCCAAGCGATTTAAATGATTTGCTTTTATTTGACAAGAACCGATATCAAGTAGCGATCTTTATGGCTCTGTATCTCCCTAGAGGAGAACTTGTGGCATTATCTTTTTGTGTTCTATATCTGAGACATTTTGCAAAATTTCAAACATTAATTTTTTACATGATGTAGAATGCTGACTTACCGATTCTATCATGACGTTTGCCTAGCAGCCTGGTATTCTGGAAAAAATAATAGTGAGGAGCCAGTCTCAAAAATATATCACTGCGCTATTGAAATGATATTTTTACCTTGCAAACGCATCTGAAGAATTGCACAAATTTTTATTTTTGAAACTAACATAAAAAATGTACACTTTTTAAAAATAACATCCAATCCACCTCAAAAGTTTTTTAGAACTTCAAACATTCATTTTTACATGATGGAGAACGCTGACTTGCTGATTCTATCATGACGTTTCCCTAGCAGTCTGATATTTTGATAAACATAGTAGTGAGGAACTTTTCAATCATCTTCAATACAATAATGCTATTCAACATTTGTTTCAGAAAATGAGAAGGGTGGTCGAAGAAGTAGATGCCGCTAAGACATCTTTGGGCAATGTACTATTATATCTGAATATCATTACCTCAATCAGACAACCGCTGTTTTAGTAGAAGAACTATATTTCAGGTAAGTTATATAGCGTAAGCATAGTGGTTAGAGGTCGTTTTTGTAGAACAGTCTCTGAGATTACACAGGGCGCTCTGCGCGTTGTGGAATCATGGTGTAGGGAAGTTGATCTTTCTGTCAACGCTGGAAAGACCGAGCTGATCCTATTCACTAGGAGAAGAAGGTTTGACGGACTTGTCTTGCAGACCTTCTTTGGGACTAGATTAGTTCTATTCCAATCAGTAAAATATCTAGGAATTATCCTGGACTGTACACTGAACTGGACAGAGCACGTTGAGTTTGAGGTTAACAAGGCTCACGATTCATTGTGGGCAAGTAAACGCGTTGTCGGCGTAAGGTGGGGGCTTAAACCCAAAGTGGTTCACTGGCTCTACACGATGATAGGGCGTCCATCTCTGTTGTACGGCTCCTCAGTTTGGTGGCCCTGCATTGGAACTGAGACTACTAAGGCCAGATTCAATAAAATTCAGCGTTTGGCCTGTATTAGCATTACAAGCGCAGTGCGGACAACACCATTGAGTGCAATGGAAGCTCTGCTGCATCCCCCACCGTTGGATCTAGTGATCGGCGGAGAAGCGAGAGTAGTCGCTCATCGACTTTGGAGTCAGGGCAGCTGGGCCTTGTTGAATCTTGTCAAGGGTCATACTGCCATCCTGGTGAAACTATAAAGGAAGGATCCCGTCCTTCTAAGCAGGGGTGATCTGATTACCCCTAAGTATGGCTTCAACCGCAAGTTTATTGTGGAGTATTCAACGAGGGAGGAGTGGGACGCCGGTTGCCGGAGGCTCACCCGAGTGAGTGGGCAAGTCTGGTACACGGACGGCTCGATCACCCACGACGGCTCTGGCGCTGGGGTCTCGGGGCCTAGGACTAGGCTATCTCTGCCTCTTGGTGGATACACCACTATTTCCCAGGCGGAAATTGTTGCGATTCCGGCTGTTGTATACCTCACTTTGGAGGGCTTAGGAGAAGAATACCAATCTTCAGCAAGGCCAGGCTGCAACGAAGGCACTAAGTGCCTGTAACATCACTTCGAGCCTTGTATTGCAATGCAGGGAGGCTCTGGATTGTCTAGCAGCGTGGCATCTGGTATCGTTAGTGTGGATACCGAGGCACGCTGGGATAAAGGGCAATGAGACGGCGGACGCTCTGGCGAAGACAGGATCAGATAGCAAGATCGTTGGTCCTGAGCCAGCTTTAGAGGTGCCCGCACCAAGGGTTAGGAGGGAAATGGAGAAGTGAGAAGAAAACACTCTCAGAAATAGAGAAGCATCTCTAGACATCTAGGGCCTAGCGCTAAGGATAGACGTTTTTGATTATCTTTAGATAGAGCCAACCTAAGGTTGCTGGAGGGACCGTTGTCTGGCCCTAACACGTTAAGGCACCACCTGCACGTGATGGGGGTGGCTGAGTAACCCTTCTGTTAGCGCTGCGGGGTAGAGGAAGAGGCCTCGGCGCACGTTCTGTGTCGCTGTGAGGCTCTTATCTACCACAGGGAGACTATACTGGGGTCCTATACTATGGACCCCCAGCAAGTTAAGGAGCTTGGACTCAAGGCCATACTTTACTTCTCTAGAATGACGTGGTTTGAGGTCTAAGGAATGTAGAGATGCACAAGGGCCCGTGTAAGTGGCCCATGCGCTGGCTCCTTATGGTGGCCGGTATGCCCCTAATTCCATGTTTCATTTATCCATTTAAGTTATGTAGTGTTTCAGGGAGCTAGTCTCAAAAATATTTCACATATTCAAAATGTTCAAAGTTCGTTTCAGAGGCTCCCGACCTTTTTCAGGAAAAAAATTGTTGGTTTACTCAATCTAAGCAAACGGTTTGAAAATTTTAATGATTGCGTTTTAATTTTATTAAACTAGCTTCATAGATTAAAGTATACTATTTTAGAAGTCGGAGTTTAATCAAACTAATGAATCCGCTGTATCGATATAACAACAGTTTAGGTAAGACAATTGTGACAGATTTACTACTAAGCTTACTTGCTGATAAGCCGGTTTTATGAAAATATTTCACATAGCTTCTTTTTTACGTATGAAATGGGGGTACAATCTATAAAAAAATAATAATACGACGAAAGTTAACACAAGAAAATTATATTCGTCTAGGGAATACTCAGCTAATCTGCTAAACTACATTTTTATGTATTTACCACCGTTCAGAGAGTCGCTGGGCATATGATGGTCGATGATAAAAAATTAAAAAGATGGTCCCAAGTACGTAATATTGGCTCTATAGCCAAGGGATAAGTTAAATCGTGTCAAAACGCGAAATCTATTCGTGATTAGGTAGGTTCAATTAGGTACAATAGATCTTAGAATTCTGCATATAAAGCAAATCTACTATATTTCTGTTTCCATGGCAGATGTAGGGAAAATATGTATTACTTATTATAGTATCACTGGGATCAGCAGCTTCTTAATAATGATTTTTCACTGACACCACTTTCAAATTTTGAACCTCTTATCATTCATGATAAGTATTAATGTTCGCTAGCAGGTTGTCATATATTTTAACACAAGTGAAACATTTTAAAATGATACAATACAAACTGAGAATTTCGTTAGATGTAAAACCTCCTCTACATGAATCGTGGGGTTTCATTCCAAACATTAACCTTATTATTATTCGCTTTTAGGCTCCCCTAATATTGTGAGATAAGTGGCTATATGCCAATGCTCAACAGACTTCCACTAATCCTTTTGCGTTCAAAAATTCTTTCATTGTAGAAAACCTGATACGGTTTACTTAAGCTTGTGCAACATGATCAATATGTTCACAAAGGTTTAGTCTACTGTCAAAGTACGTACCGAGAAGGCTATTTGTTTATGGCTGTGCAGTTCTTTTCTCCATATAACCTCCTCACCTTGTAGATCCAGATAAGATAAAGCCGCGAGTACTGCTCACATGTTTGGAGTGCTGCTGCCGTGACTACATTCTCCTTGCTCGACGCTGTTTAGAGGAGGGCTGTCCGACTGATCAATGATCCTTTTCTATCGGACAGGCTCGCGATTCTTTCGCACGTCGACGCCGGTGACCAACCGTTATGTCAAGGGGCGTTGCTCCTCAGAGTTCTCACCCATGATGCCGCCGCGCGATGTCCCTGCTAGACAGACTCTGCTGTCTTCGGCTTACGATACCATACCACCTAACCATGTCAAACTTCGTTACATCCAGATCAGACCTCTGAGACCCTAGGGTATTGAGATTGTGGAAGAATCTACCTAAGGAGGCTTTTCCCAGTTCTACTAAGCTGAGGTAGTTCAAAGATCGGATTAACCCTTAAATGCGCGATTTTTTCTATTATGGTAAAAAAATATATTTGATGTTTAATTACCTCTAGTTGCCACAAAAAATAGTTAAAAAATCCAAATTAAGAAAAACTTTGTTTTTGCAATTTTTTTTTTTAATGTATCATATGTGCTACAGCGAACATTACAACTTAAATATGCAAATCACGGAACTATGATAGTTGGTAGCTTACAGAAATAGGACTTAAGCTTTTGGAATATGCTTTTAACATTTTATTTATGGAAATCATGAAAACAGTTTTTAGCTTTGTTAAAGCACAGCGAGGTTTGGCATTTTCCACACATGACGAACGTAAACCCACCGCACTTGGGAAGTTTACAACGTAAACGTTTTTCCATCCATACGGGCCAGTGTGAGCTCTCGTCAACTTGTACCTCCCTAGGAGGAATAGTACAGTTACGAGAGCATTGTTTCTGTTGGATTTTCTTTTCCAAAACAGATTTACGTCCTCTTGAGTTTTGACGAATACCTGTTTTGCAAAGTGTTTCTCCTAATTCAATCCTAAAATTTGCCAGCCCAAGTGTTTTAGTATTTCCCTTCTGAGCATTAACTCTCCTATATAGAAGCCAAGCATTTACTATTGTCATGTCCAAAAGGTGATAAAAAAGTCTGAAATACCACTTCCTTGATATGAGCTTGATACGGTATCGACCAATCAAACTATCCATAAGGTCTACTCCTCCCATATGTTTATTATATTCTTTTACAATCTTAGGGCAATCGATCTCTACTCTTTTATTTTGAGATTTATCGCATCTGTCAGCTTTGGATTTGGGAAGAGTTCCACAAAATGTAGACACAAGGGACACAATTTTATTGTTCTTCCATGCAATTGAAGAAATTGGTACTCCTTCCGTCTCCGTAATATATTCCTTACTGGTACCTCGATTTTCTTTACTCATTTCCTTATCTCCTGGAAGGGGGCATTTTGGTATCCGATTTCTTCTGATAGTACCCAAAGCTTGAACACCGCGTTGAGATAGCTGTGCCAGAAGTGGTAAGGTGGTATAATAATTATCAAAGTATACATGATAATTCATATCATTTGGTAGATTACGTAGAAGTCTGGTTACGATGTTAGCACATGCCCCTAAATCGCTCTCATTTAGCCCTATTGTGTTTTCTTGTCCACTGTAAATTTCAAAATTATAACAATATCCTGAAACTCCGGCCAACACATAAACCTTGAATCCCCATTTATGCGGTTTAGCTGGCATGTATTGCTTGAGATAACTTTTTGTTTTTGTTGGGCACATCTGTTCATCAACTGATAGGCATGCTTCATAAGGAACAGACTGGTAACGATCAAGAAGGTGATCAACCCGTGGCCGAACTATGTGAAGTCGATCACGCAGTTCATGTCCCTTAGGTAACATTTTAGAGTTATTGTTGAAATGCAGGTGTTTTTTATTTTCTCGAATTGCTTTTGCGACATCGTATTTTTGATAATATCTATACCAATAGTAGAAGACCAATAGCTTCGTATATTGGGCATATGTATAACTGACACCAGAACACATATTCCAATGTATCTTTTTATATCAGTTTCTTGTAGAGATACAGGATTGCCTGTATCTAATTGTACCGAGAATAAATTTGACTGCTCCACGATAAGCTTGATAAGATCTTGATTATAAAAGTAGGTGAAGAACTGGTAAGGAGTTTCCAAATTGCAAAACATATCTGGCAGTTTATCACTACCTTTGAATTTAACAGATTCTTCGGACATAATCAAGTTGCCCTCTCTCCACTTCAACTTACACAAGACTTCTCTAATTCTTCTTTGATTCTCAGCTGACTTCTTTTTTCTTGTTTTTTCGTCATTGCGCAGTACTTCATTCTTGAGTTTCCGACTAGTATCTTTATTGGCATCGTGTCTTGGTATATTGTCGGAGAAAATGTTTTCTTGGTTGCTTTCACGTAATAAGTACGTTTAGATATTCGTCTTCTTTTAAAGCTGAACATGATTCGCTATTACTTTCCAAAGATTGTTCAGAAACATGTACAGATGACTGCTTTTTATATAAATGTTTGTTAGAAACATTACGCGAGTCTAGAGACAGAACAGGCAAAATTATCATGGGCATTTTGTCTATATCAAAATCATCATTTTCATCATCCAGAAAATCATTAGCTGGCGAAATGTTATCAAAATCTTGTGGGAGCGCGTCGTCATCGTCATCTGAAGTTTCTAGTCCGTCTTCACTGACTTCAGACAAATGGTCTGCAAAGTACTGAAGCTCCGCCTGCGTTAGCGGCCTCTTCTTTTCCCAATTTTCCTGCAGAGAAAATCAGAAAATTGGACGCCTTTTGTTAGAATTCTATTGCGCGTTGTTGCAGATATGCAACATTGCTTTAAAAAATCCCGCGTAAATATTTTAGGCTGTAAAGGAAATTGTTACATATATGCAACATTCCTTTAGTAAGCATTTTGAAATACTATTTCACATTTTTGGGGATAAAAATACTAAATGTGGGTTAAGCTTACCATATTCCTGACCACAACAATTTTATAGTGCAACTTCACTGAAATATTTCATCAAAAACGAGGACCAAATTTGTTCTATTTTGTGCGAACGTCAGAGTTGTAGGACGCACCGACTTGCACTAACTTGAACAAGTCCGCATGCTTCCATCTGTGAATTCACTTATAAATTATCGTAATGTAATAGTTTTTGTACGAAGTCATCTGCAAGAGGTTTCGGAATATGCATTATATTCAGAAATAACAGTTAATTCAAAAGCGTAGCATATATGTTACGCTACGCATTTAATTAATCGCTTCTTTAAATTCTTTAAATATTTACTTCGACGAGGACTTCACATAATTAAGATCGAACATCACTTACAGGTAAGTTCGTTTGATCATGTAATTATGTTCCGTCCTCGTCGAAGTAAATATTTAGAATACATATCGTAGATGTTCAAAGCTAGTTGCAACAACGTAGTACTAGCGCTCTGCAATAGTAAACGATAGGTTGTACACAACTACACAAATTTTACGCAATGTATATGTCAACTAAATGTACATTTCCATTGTAACAACTCAAGTTAGGGCTTCTAGCAACTGGTAATATGACGTACCTGGTTCAAAAATTACCATCCATTACATGGTAGTAAGCAAATAACTTAATAACATAGTAATATTTAAGGTGTAGAGACTTGGTTCACCTCAAACGCCGCTTGTGCAAAGCGATTGTTTGACATAAGAGATTTGTGACGTATTTCAGAAAACGCACTCCAGCCCGCCACGAGCCTGAGACTACTATGATTTAGCAGGCGGATCGATAGACGCATGTCATGTACTGTGGACTGTCAATTGTGACACTCTCTGCTAAAACCGACTTCATCCATCTGGGAGCAGAGGCACCATGATAAAGTTATTGTACAATGACAAATAAATACTTTGACAGAACAGATATTTGGGGCTGAAATACGGTAAAACTAAAAGTGGTTGCCACATGAGTAACACCGAGACTTTCAAATACTGAGAAATCCCAATTTCAATATTATTCAACCCAATCGGGATGTTGTCTGTTTCAATTAGTTTGCAAACTCTGCTAGAGCTAGCAGTGTTGCTGATTTCCTCATTCAAATATCTACAGCGCTTACCAGTAACCCCTTTGGTTGGTTGAGAATAACCACAGTAACTATATTTCAGTTGAGATGGCCAAAGCCTGTAAATGGCCTTCAAAAACCATCTTACGTCTGCATCGTTAGTAGCATTTTGGGTAAAATACTGATAGCTCGACCGAGGCAGTACCACCCGCTAGCTTTTCCCAGGGTGTCTTATAAATGTCCGCATGTTTCCACACCTAAGCTATGCAGTCGGTTATCTACCAAAACAAAGAAATTAATGATGATGGATCCCTCGAGCACTAAAAACTCCGGACGTAAACTCACTCCACTCTCGGAACGTCCGGGTGGAGGGTGGGCTCGAGGGAACAACATCGAAGATAAAATTTGTTTTTCGAACATCTGCGGGATCAACACCAACATTAATGCTGTTCATCACTACCTGCAATCCAATCGTCCCGCCGTGCTTTTCTTGGCGGAGACAAAAATCTCAGAGACTGCACCGATTAACCATCTCAACTTCCCAAACTACGAGGTGCACTCCAATCTGAGAAAGAACGGGGGAGTTGTGGCTTTTGTCCGCAGCAGTCTTGCCTGCTCCAGGGATCTTTCTTTGGAATCAGACCGGAAGGACATTCTGTGGCTTCGCCTCAGCTCCAAAACATCACCCAAATTTATTTGCTGCCTTTATGGCTCTCCCTCGAACCATAACTGGGATGACCTACTCGAATACCTCGCCGTCCAGATCGACTTCCTGAACATCAATCATCCCGCTTCAGAGGTAGTTCTTCTCGGTGATTTCAATGCCCATAATGAGCTTTGGTTGGGCTCAAATAAGACCGATGCAGCAGGTCGTGCAGTCGAAGCGTTCGCTCTTACTCAAGGGCTGACCCAGCTGGTCACGAGCCCTACTTTTTTCCCCCGCGTCTCGTCACACGCCAGTAGCCTGCTGGATCTCTTTCTGACCACGCATCCTGCCCCTTACAGCACTGCTGTCCTGTCCCCCCTGGGTAACTCAGATCACGGTGTTGTGGAGGTTAGGTTTCGGTCAGAAGCCGCTGTGGCAGCAGAAACTCGCACAGGCCGCAAAACTTGGCATTACGGACATGCCGACTGGGAGGGGCTCAGAGACTTCTTCTCTAGCTTTCCTTGGAGAGATGTCTGTTTCACTGACGCGGATGCGTCGACTGTCTGTTCTTCAATAACCGAAATTATCCACGTCGGAATGGAGGAATACATCCCTCACACAGTGAAAGTTCCTAAACCAGGGTCCAACGGCTGGTTCAACAAATCGTGCGACACTGCTCGCCACCAGAAGATCAAGGCCCACAGAACCTACTTACAAAACCCCACTGTAGAGAACAGACAAGCCGACGTCGAGTCCAGAAACAAATATAACGAAGCGGTTCGCAATGCCAAAAACCAGCATGATATAAAAGTTAGGCACAGGGAAATGTCGCAGCGCAATGGCAGTCGGTCTTTCTGGACGCTGGCCAAGCAGATTGAAAAGAACTTCTCACACAGTAGCCTTCCACCACTTACGTGTCAGGATGGAACTATTGTATTCGACTCGAAGGCCAAGGCGGAAGTGCTAGCCAAGATCTTTGCTGCCAACTCCACCATGGACGTCCCCACCAACGCCCAAGTGCCGTCAATTCAAAGGGTTCCCACACTATGCGGGAGGTAACATTCAGGCAT